AGATCTGAATACATCGTAGTTACTATTTCCTATTGGCTTTTTCCAAAGCAGAGCACTGTCACCAAGCTCATCTTGCTCACCCTTAGCACTTCTTGCTATGCAGTTGAAGTTGCGTGTCTCAGGACTGCCTTTGTAACAGGGACAGGAGTCAGAGTTTGCTTTCAGTGTAAATCTGAAATAGGGCATCTGCAGAGAGCTCTCTAGTTCGTATGCAGAGGTCTGACATCATGCACCGTTAACAGTCACAGATTGACAGAATTGCAGGGGTTGGTAGGAACCTCGAGAGATCATTGAGTCCTACCCCCCTGCTAACCCAGGTACTCTACAGGAGGTCGCAAAGGTAAGGCATCTAGACAGGTCTTGAATATTGCTGTCGAAGGAGACTCCACAACCTCTCTGGGCAGCCTGTCCCAGTACTCTGTCACCCTTACTGTCAAGTTAAATGTTGTGGAGCTGATGCTCAGGGCCATCCCAACCACCAGCACAGCACTGAATGTTGCTCTGGGGTCCCACCAGCATTGCTTTTAAAACACAGAGAAATAGATGTATAGTGCAACTGTGAAAATCAAACAGAAGCTGAGACCAGATTCAGTAGGCCATGTGGAAATTCCTGGTGTGTTTTGAGTGCTGTGGATTGGGTGAAGATCCCAGCTGGAAACCACATGGTTTTCTACCAGTTCCATTTGAGCCCTGGTGCAATTTGGAGGTTTGACTATTTGGGTTTGAGTGAGAATTTATTCAAATCTGAAAATCAAACAAATCTTTCAGGCTGTTAAATCACGCAAAGAAAACTGAGGACAAAGGTTTGCTCACAGCCTTGGCTGTGACAAGCTTGGTCAGAGCTGTGAGTAAGGTAAACACAGATTGAAAACACCCTGGGTTGTCTGCCTGCTGTTTGCTGCACAGTTGATGAACAATCCCTCCTATTTCCTCCCTGTTCACTAAGAGGTGGCTTGCTGACTTCAGTCTGTCCTTGTGTAGCAGCAGTGCGCTGCGCCGGAAACAAGAGGAGGTAGAAGCATGAGTCATGGCCTGAGTCACAGGGTTGCAGGGAAACCTTCCTGCCCAACCTGCAGCCATTCAGTTCTTGCAGCCCACTAGAAGTCAAACCATGGGAACTCAGTCACTGGGCACTCATATCTCCACTTACCACACCCTGTGTCGTTTCTGCAGGGCTCAAATACTGACAGTGGTTCCTTTGGGCTGGGATTGTTTTCTGTTGCAGCTACACCCAGCTATCCTGGTGCAGATTAACAAAACTGGGTAACTACAGAACCTGTATCTACTTTGTATCACTTCTTTGGTAGACTTTTGCACATCCTTCAGTTACAAGCTCTCTGGTCAAAAAAAGTTTGACCTGAACTCTCATCTCCATCTCACTGCTTCCATTTCTACAGGGCTGGGCAGGAAAACACCAGAAGTTTTCTGAAGGGCAGGAAGCACTTCCCCCATCTTTGTAAATATCCACACAACTGTTTCATCCTGTGAAACATCCAGATTTTAGATTACTCAGTTTTATTCTAGGCTCTCAGAGTGAGAGTGCATATGAGATGAACATTGCAAATTAAGAGCCATGAGTCTGAGAGATTGTCTACAGGAATTTCTCCTCCGTATGCATCTCTTCTAATTCAAGAGATTTTCCTTGGTCCAATGAGGTTGGGACATTACGTTGACTGTTAAACATTCTTTGGACCTAATGTGCCTCCTCTTGCAGGTTTTGTCTGGTATAGCGGGAGAAAATTGTTGCTGTCTCTTGATCTGGTCTCCCTGTCTGTGCAATCACACTACCTCAGTTTATATGCTATTTGCAGGAGATATTTTTTTCTGAAATGAAGTAACTTTTAGATCTGAATGAAAGTAAACACCTCCCATTTTGAAACATTTAGAGACCAATCACCAGACTCACCACTGAATTCAGCTCAGTTTGTCAGAAAAGTTACACGTTGCTTTTAGAGGAAAGAACACTTACTAATGAAATACAACTTGAGGCTAACATTGTTTTAATTTCTTATCCCCTATCCACAACATTTTCTTTTTTTTTTCTTTCTTCCTCCCTTCCTCCCTCTCTCTCTCTCTCTTCAATGTTGATTTCTCCTTGGTGAACGTACTAAGGGTTGACTGGATGACCAGAATATCTTTCTGTGCTATCTTCATGTATTATAAATGCCAGGTATGGGGAAAAATATGCAGTAAAGATTTTATCCTATAGAAATTTTATTACCTTTTAAAGAAGCACAGACCTGCATTGTTCAGTATTGCTCATACTGAAGATACAAGATATCAGCTGTATTCTGCTGCAATCTGTCATTATAAAACCGTAACTCTGATTTAAGCAAGATCAGAACTTGCTCCAAAATGAACATGTAGTAGAGAATAAAAACAGTGATAGTTGCACTGTCTGTAATGTAATCTCCCTCATTGGGCTGATCCCTCTAATTTGGGTTAACAGAACAAGACTGTATTACATAACTTCTTAAAGAAGGGAAATCTTGCTGTCAAATCAAGCAATACCAGGATCCCAGAGATTTTACACATCCTAACCTGATCAGCATGACTACTCCAGATTACATTTTTTCTGGCATGGGTAGCGGCTCAAGCCATTAAGACAATATATTAGAGGAACTTCCTAGCCAAATTATCTTTAGATAACACATCAGATATTTAGTGACATTGCGAAACAAGTTGCATCTGCTTCACACTCAGTTGTCTTTGTTTTTTTTTTTTTTTTTTTTTGCCCTGCCCAAGACTTCTCTTATCATCTTGTGCCTCTGTCAGTGAAGTTGTCATTCCCACTCTGCCCAGTCCTATGATCTTCTCACTGTGTGAGTTTTTAAAAGCCAAAATGAAACTTGGTTCTTCTCTCTTTTTTGTGTGTGTTTGTTTTTGTTGTTACTTGTTTTGCCATGTCCTTTTATTTCTCTGCTCTACAGACAATCTGGAGAGGTCTGTCTTCAATAAATTGGTGAAACTTATTTGTTCTACTGAAGACAAGACTAATTCAGATTTGGCAGCCATCCCACTCAGAGGCAGGCACTTAGCCCCCAGCTGTGCTGTCCTTGCCAGGACCTATGTAAAATGTTACTACACAAACAGAAAACCAATAATGTCGAACAGTATTTGTAAGTTTTATGTAGGTTGTATAATTATTTCTTTAAAATTTTGGTATTTTGAATCTGAAAACAAGCTTTTTCTAACTGACAGCTATTCAGCTGGCTGGTCCTTACCCTTGTAGACTGCTGGTGTCTGGTATCTGGTAGTTGAAGGACTGCCACGTAGTCCTTTGAGCACACTCTCTGAGGTGTTGTCATATTGCCGGAGGCTGGTAAGAGCTGCAAAGTGAACTCCAACATTGAAAGGGCAAGCACTAGCTTTTTGGAGCTGTGAGAGGCTGTAGGCATAGCAACAATATTATAGGACACGCACACAAATGTAAATTAAAGACAGGGAAATAAAATGTGTTGGATGGCAGTTACAGTAGGATTTTGTCTTCATATGAGCAAACATTTTCAGTCGACTCCATTTCTTTTTGACCTCATGTACTACAGACATTGTCCTCCATAGACTTGTATCCTCACCACCTAAGAGAACATAATTTAATCGATGCTTTTTTCATGCCACAAGAAATTGTCATCGGTGAGCAAGACACTCCTAGGTATAGAAAGAAATTGAAGGAGACTTTGGAATGTTGTTGTAAATAGAAATGTTAAGGTGTGGTTCCACAACAGCCTAAGGTGAGCTGTAACCAAACTGCCATATTCCCATCTCTCTGCCAGCTCTGTCTGCCTCCTTCTCCCTTCAAACTGGTGCTCGCACTGGGGTGGGCAGCAACTGAGGGCAGGGAACTCAGCCAGGTAAAGATCAGCCCGCCTACAGAAGGTGTGTGGATTTTTATTGGATGAGGTTGAATCAGCTCACTGTTTGTTTGGACACCAGTAAGAGCCAAGGGGTGTGAGCATGAGGGCAGGGCAAAGGTAGGCTTGACGTAATCTAGTTGGAGCTGCTATGAAACTACCTGTGGACTGTGTAAATATTAGTAAAATCGGATGTGCCTGGGAATGTTTCCAGGCACTAGAATGAGATTCTCTGTGCTATGAAACTGTTAAAATGCTTCCCTGGCAGGAATTTGACCTTTTCCAATTAACACTCTCTGCAAACAATTTCTGGGCACAATTTGGTTGCTAGAACGGTCCCAATAGGCAATTTGCAAGCATAAACGTGGTTCTTTCCGTGCCAGCTGGCCTCCATACCCAGGAATGCTTCCAGGCATGTTGGGTTTACTAGTATAGACCTATCCCTACTGTCACATCCTGCCCCAAAATTGCAGCTACCACCAGGTTTGAAAAGAGAGGTCTGATCCTGTCAGTTTTCACAATGAGTGCAGCTCAGTTTCACAAGCTAGCTTTGCTGCTTTGGTGGGATTTCTGATGGTGGAAAAACAGGTTATATGTTTTTAGGACACATCAGCAATGCAACTATGAAGTTGCAATTTTACACTGCAGTGTGTAGACCAGTTGCAGACCCTCACAATGAGAAAGGAGTTGTCCTGAACCAATTGTTTTCAAAACCAAGAGTAGCATAACATAAAAGCTAGATGAAATCTAGGAAAAATACATTTAATTTCCTTTAATGCTGTTGTAAGAACCACATATTTTGCCTCCATTTCTTGTTGGGTTGGAGGGGGAAGAGATAGCAATATCTTTATATTTTTTTTTATCTGGGCTATAGTGCTACTGAATGTTTGGGCACTTTTGTGGGGCTGAAGCTGAAGTGATTTTTTTCAAGTCAGTTTCAGAACTGGGAATGCAGTTATTCCTTCCTCTGCATATTAAGAAAAAGCCACAATTGCAGAATTTCCTTTCCAGTTTGCAATGTTAATAAAATCAACGTGTTCTGTATCTTGAATAACCAAAGCTAGGTTATTCAAGATCCAGCCCTCAGCTGTGACAACTGAATAATATCTGTTCTTTTTTTTTCTTTCTTTTTTTTTTTTTTTTTAACAGCTGCCTTTACAAGCTTCCCTCCACACCAGGGAATCTGAAAAAATGGGATTTTTACATCTCTCCAGGTATATTCACTTAGCAACCTTATGACCTCTTACCTAACGTATTCTCTCAGGGAACAATTAAAGGAATTGTTTTAGAGTGGCTGAATACACACACACAGACATGCACAAAAAAAAACCAACGTTCTCAGATGGGTTGCTTTAGGACCCAGAGTAACTGGAATTGACAGAAGTCTTCACCTGAATGAATTTTCCTTCTGACTGTATACCTTATAAGGAGTACAGGAAAACAAGGAAGTGATAACCATGTTCAGGTTACTTCTATGTACAGCCTGCCGTCTTTACCTGCCCAGGTAGCTGTTGTTTTCATTTTCATTCATGCTCTGTGCTGATAGGTTTGAAGTTTCCTTGCGGTGCGTTGTAGGTGACATCTGAAAACATACACTTTGGGAACGTATGATGATTTTTACAACATTCTGCCTTTCTGTGGACTATAATTAACACGCTAACACTTTTTGTCACACAGCCAGCACTGAAAACGAATGGGGATTGAATTGCTTTGCCTCTTTTTCCTATTTCTGCAAAGAAATAATTATGTGCAAGGTAAGACTCAGGGGCAGTGAGATGCATTTCAAAACCATTTTTGCTTTGTTTCTTGCTTTAAGTTGATATGAAATAGTTTTTTTGTCTCTTGTATTTAATTGTTACTTTCTGTTTGACGACTGTTTTCTTGACATGCTGCTGAAGGGCAGCCCTGTGAATTTGTCTATGATTTATGTGGGCATTACATAGCACGATACGTATGAAACAGGTAGGCATCCGAGTAGTTATGGTTATACTAATCACTGTTTGATCCACTGAGAAACTTAATACCGTACAAGGTCTCAATGTTTCACCAGTACTTTCACAAAAAATTAAAATAATATCAAGAATTTATAGACCTGGGTGGAGCAATTTTAGGTATAAAGTGTTGAGCATGTGTACATCTGTGGTTTGGTGTCTCTGTTGGTGTTTTGGTTATGCTGGCAATGTTTTGCCCCGTACCACAAACAAACACAAAGCTTTATCAAGTGCACTGGAACAAACACAGTAGCACATTCCTATATTCTCAGTGAATGTGTACCTATAAAGCATGCAGAAGTATATTAATTATCAGCAATTGTGTTGCTGCTGTTTTCTTTGTTTTGTTTTGTTTTTCCCAGAGAGTTAATGTTCTACCAATAGAAATATTATCTTTAGGGAAGGGCTTTATCAGTAACACTACGTATGGCTAAATGTTTATAGCTTTTGCTTCCTATGTTCTCAGTGTGAGCAGATTCATCACAGACTGAATGATTAAACACATTATTAATAGCCTTTTGTCTTCTTGGATTTAAACTTAGGGACCTGTTCTCAGGAAAGTGGAGTGACTTGTGAAGATTGTTTGCTTTCCGGACCGCACTGTGCTTGGTGCTTCCAAGAGGTAGATGATACCAAAAATTTCAAAGTAAAACTTGAAATGTTTGTAGTGGCTCTGAGTGACAGAGTATTGACTTAACTGGGTTAGCCCATGGTTTTGTAATGCATGCAGTGCTTAGTGAAGCCTTCCAAGGAATCAAAAGGGAAATTCAAATACAGACTTTAAGCTGTATTAATATCTGTAGTATCAGCTCTGGCTGATTTTAAATATGACAGTAGTGTCAGTTTTCTAATTAATTATCACATAGGTGTGAGTATTTTGGCTAAAACATAGGGCTTTAACATAAATATTTGGATTTGTTTCCTACAGAACTCTTACAGGCTTTCTGTGTAACTCTGAGCAAGCCAATTACCATCTCTGCTTTTAAAATTTTCCCCTGTGAAAGGTGATAAATACCTCCATAATTCCTAGCAAGTCTTCTGGGTCTTAGTTAATTAATTCTGGCAAGAAAGTTAGCTATTGTAATTTAAAAATTGCCAGAAATAGTGAGAAATTGAATATTTTTCATGATAGCAGCAGAATTGTAAATCAGAAAATATTCCCACCTTTTAAAAATAGCAGAATAACACATAGATGAGGATGTATCACTGTATGAAGTAACTCACAAAGATCAAAGAATACTTTTTTTTAAGGAGATTGCTAAATATAATTCAGCAATTTGTATATAATGTTACCATGGGAGGAAAACACACAAAACAACACGCTTCAAAAATAAAAAAAGAAACCCACCCAATTTACAACAACAAAACATTAGAAACTCCTGTGTTTTCAGGAATTTCTGTTTGCAGTCAGCCGCAAAAACAGGATTTTCTTGAAATTTGATCAGGATTTGAAATACTGCCACATACATTGAGAAAATGAAAAACAACGTGTTGACTTAAAAAATCCTCTATAGAAGAAAAATGTGCCTTCTAGGTATATTTGAAACATGAGTTTGCCTCTGCATGCACGTTTCAAAAAGCCAGCAATTAAAAGTGTGTAACTACAGAAGGTGGTATAGTTCTCCCTGTGAAAGCTCTGTAACACTGATCTTTGTGCAGTGAAGAAGGTGTTGGTGAGAGTCTTCTCTGAGCAAGGTTGTCAGATTTGGTCTGAAGCACGATAAATTGCTGTTCTCACCTGTGTTGCTTCCACAAAAATACGTGAGCTCTCTGACAAGTGTCAGCCATGAGTGATGAAGTCTTGATTACAAGGAGAGGCTGAATTCTGTTCTTAATAAGTTTTCTGTTCTTAATAAGTTTAAAGTGAATATGTTTTGTTTTGGGTAGAAAGTTCCTCAGTGACTGAACTCAGATATTATTTGTGGTGTAATGGGCAAGCAATCTCAGTTCAGCCAAACCGGGGAGAAAAGAGCTATCCCATGCCATGGGCCACGGCCATCAATGAGGCAGGAGGTGTTCTGATGTTAGTTCTGCCAGGCACTTCCCAGCTTTTGTCAAAAAGCCTGGTTGGCCATAACAGTTTTCAATTCAGGAGATAACTGACTGACCTGCAGGTCTAAATTCTAGACATAGCTCTAGGAAATGGTAATAAGGCATCAAAGCCTCTTCGTGAAACAAACCACTAACCTCACTGCTATGTGGGATAATGCCCGTGTTGTATTTGAAATATGAGTTTGCGTTGCAGGGAGAATTGTATGTCAAGTGCTTTGAAATGAGGAACCAGAACCAACTGCAAGATATCCAGGTGATATCGATAGGCTTGCAGTTCCCTCTATGGGGGAGGGAGGTGGAGGAGGATGCTGAGCCAGATGTGAGTGGGCATATCAGAGTAGTGGGAACCCCATCAGTTCTGGAGAAAGAGGGGAGCTGTGGTGTTTGCTGGTTCAATGAATTAGTAAAATAAGGGCTGAGGAGAAAGAGTAGATCAAAGGAAAACAAAGAGTCCAGAGAATTATGTGCACCGCGCCTCCATTTTCTCACAGAGTCTGTAGGAATTTATTATTTGCTCTCCTGTTATTAAATGATGTTCCACCAGCAGTTCAAAACTGCTTAGGAAAGGCTGGTGAATTTGTGAGATAGACCTGTAAGTGTTTTGCTTACAACAACAGGCTCAGAAGGGCTTTGTGTTCCCATTCCCAGAGCTGCAAGAAGCCAAGTGAGAGTGGCATAATTCCCATTCCCCAACAGTAGAGTAGTTTTTCCCAGGACACTAAACTGGTGTAAGTTACATTAATTATACACCTGTGGGACATGACCCACGAAGGGCAAATTGAGATTTCGGTGCCCTCTAGATCTCCTTCTGAATTAGTTTGCACTCATTGTATAATCTGCACCTTTGTTTCTAGTTCTTTGGCATTCGATTGACCTTTTGTCAGCTGCTGCTGGTGGCTGATCAGTAAATATATTTAACTCATCCATCTCTTTTCCTGTTTGCTTTAGAATTACACAGACTCAGCTGGAATTCATGGGAGGTGTGATACCCCAGAAAACCTTTTGTCAAAAGGATGCCAGTTGAATTTCATTGAATTTCCCATTTCAGAAGTGGAAATTCACAGAAACAAACCTCTAACTATAGCAACCCAGAAGGACAATTCTGATGTCACACAGATTTCTCCCCAGAAATTAACACTCAGGCTGCGACCAGGTAAATCACTCAGGTCATAAATGCAGATTTTTTTTAATTTTATTTTCCTGTTCTTGATGTATACTGAGATACTGTTATACACTCAGACTAGTGGGGGGGGGAAAAAAAAAAAAAAGACAAAGATAAAATATTGATGTTCAATCTGAAATTATCTGTTGTTTGACTCATCGGATAATCGTTAAGTTCGGAAGGAATACTTTCTGAAGTGCTGGATCCATGATCAAAACTAAGGATTTAATGTTCAGTTCTTGCATTCTCTGGGAAATAAGTTGGCTGTGAAAGAATGGAAAGCCCCCATATCTCTCCAGCCCTGTCTCTCAGCCTCTCCCTCTGCAGATCTGGCAGACAGCATATCTCAGAGGCAGTATAAAAATCTTGCTTTGAGGATTTACAAGGTAGCAGTGACATTTATGGAAGCATTCTATACCTACTCTGGGGTCTTTGAGACATGATTCTTTTCCTGTGTAATGCTTGGACTAAGAAAACATAAGAAACACCCAGTTAGGTCATACTGCAGTACTACAACTGAGAGTAAAACTTGGTACACACTCTGATTTTTTAATGTGTGTGGCATACCCCGTAAGTGCTTCCTTTAGCTTTAATGATCTTCATATCAAAATTTTCTAAAGGTGCATACTGCTGAAAGGATGTTCTCATATCTTTAAATCACAGCCATCAGTTCCAAGTCTACAACTGGGGCCTTACTGAGGAATGGTTTAGAAAATACACCAGGATTGCTTTTAATTTTCTAGACAGCCAGTTTGAGATTTTTGTTGCCTGAGAGTTTGTAAAGTTATCACAGAATCATAGAGTATCCCAAGTTGAAAGGGACCCACAAGGGTTGCTGAGTCCAAGTCCTGGTTCCATACAGGACCACCCAAAATTTAGACCGTATGGCTGAGAGTGCTGTTCAAATTCTTCTTAGACTCCAGCAGCTTGGGTTTGTGACCACTGCCCTGGGGAGTTGCTCCAGTGCCTGACCAGTTATTTGTTAATTGCACAGGTGGCTTAAAGTGCTAAATAATTCTTGCCATATATAAGTTTATGAACTAAGCGCCATTGCTTATTACTTCTTATAAGTACTAAGATGTATCCCATCTTCCCATGACTTTCACAGGACATGAAGAAACAATCCAGATCAAGGTTCGGCAAAGTGAAGATTATCCAATTGACCTCTATTACCTCATGGATCTTTCAGCTTCCATGGATGATGACCTGAATACAATAAAAGAATTAGGCTCAACTCTTTCCAAAGAAATGTCAAAACTGACAAGCAACTTCAGACTGGGTTTTGGATCTTTTGTTGAAAAACCAGTTTCACCATTTATCAAAACTACAGCTGAAGAAATAAACAACCCTTGCAGGTAGGCAGGGAAAGTACCTGTATTTGTTTGCATGCCAACATTTAGTCACAATATTAATCCTTATGGTAAAATCCAATTTTGCAACCCCATTGGAATCCCTTCCCTATTCCAGTAGTAACTGAGTCAGTTTGGGAAATAAGATTTGTTTGAGCTTTACATTGCTCATTAATTTGTTGCATAGAATCATAGAATGGCTTGGGTTGGATGGGATCCCAAGGATTGTCAAGATCCAACCTTACCTTACACTGCTACGTTACTTGAAGAGAGGAATTTGAGAGTGATTCTGCTCTATAGTTTTGCTGCTAATTACAAATGTGCTTAACAGAGTAGCAAAGAGATATTTAGAATAACTATGTATTTATTTTTATTTGCTAGAATATACACGTATACATTTAAATAGAGAGAGAAATTTTATGATGCTGTGGTGCTAAAGGGGTTCAAACTGAAACCCAACACAGAACAGCAGTTTCATTTACTCTCAGGCACAGAAGAGAGATGCAAAACCAAAAACTAATCCAGCAAGGCCTGCCATGTAGCCACTGTAGGGATTCTCTCTCTGCACTGTCCATGAGTTGTCTCACTCCTTTTGCAGAAGTGTGCCATATGAGTGCTTGCCCACCTTTGGATACAAGCATGTTTTGTCACTGACAAATGATGCCGAAAGATTCAATGAAATTGTAAAAGGACAGCGAATCTCTGCTAACATAGATACTCCAGAGGGAGGATTTGATGCAATTATGCAGGCAGCTGTTTGCAAGGTAATTGAAAATTCTAGATATGATACAAGTTACTCTGTATATATCCACTTCCAGTATTATATGGTTATAATTCAAAGGAGTAGATCATTATTTTCATTTGTTTGTTGTTGTTGTTGTTGTTGTTGTTTTTAATGTAATCCAAGAGCCTCATTAGGTTTATGTGAAAATACTTTTGGCTGTAACATGTTAAACATACATGAATATTGCCATATTTTATTGTTTCTATTTAATTGCCAGGAATAAAATAAAATATGAACTGCATAACTACTGGGTCTGTTCTCTTCATAATTTTTTTATTTAAAAATGTTGGGTGAACTATGCTTAGAGTATTAAGCAGACCGAATTGAACAGAGCCAACACTTTTTCATAAACACAAAAATGAGAATAGAAAATTTAGCCAAAGACATCAGAATGAAAACTATAGTCTCTTTCAAACTGATGATGCTCATTCTTAGAATAGGTGATGTGATGTTTTTGATGCACTCTTTAAGATGTTCCCCTTCATTTGTTTTGAGATGCCATTCTCCAAGTATTTTGATGCTTTCCTGCTTGTGAGTGTAATACAGTCTACTGAACTAATGTATTTTAAATGACAGGAAAAAATCGGATGGAGGAATGACTCTCTGCATTTGCTGGTGTTTGTGAGTGATGCTGATTCCCATTTTGGGATGGACAGCAAGCTAGCAGGAATTGTTATTCCTAATGATGGGAACTGTCATTTGGACCACAATAATGAATATTCCATGTCAACTATTCTGGTAATTCACTCTGAATTTTGTTCAACTCAAAGAAGCAAAGAAGAAACCTAGTGGAAGTGTACCTTAATCACTGAAATGCACAGACGCTGCAGAAGCTAAACATTTGCTATTATCTGCTTTACTTTTAGTTGCAAATGTTAGTTACAAGAGAACAGTTTGTTTATGTGGAATTGTGACAAATTGTAACTAAAAGTAAAAAAAAAAAAAAAAAAAAAAAAAAAAATTGTATCTTTTATTTCTGCTAACCTAGAAAACATGTGGAACCAGACTGAATAGTATTACCTTATGCAGGGGTAACAAAATTTGCATTAACCTACTTCCCTGGAAGGGAGGATGTGAATTCAGCAGAAATTCAGAAATGTTAAGGTCGCTGCTCAAAGAATAAAATCTTTTAGCTTAAGATTCAGTGACCAAACTAGTGCACATACTCTGTTCTGCTGGCACAATGCTACTAAAGTGTGGAAAGTAACACCATGCTTCCCTCTAAGGGACATCCATAAAACAAGGCAAGGAAATTACACATACTTTTTTTTTTTTTTTTTTTTTTTTTAATATATAACCTGATGACTAATGATAGTTCGTTTTATGCAGCAGAATATCAATTATGGTCACTTAACTATGTTTTATTGGTGATAATTAGCATCTGGACATACCTGGAGAAACTAATGTAGGCTCTCTTCTGTTTGCCTTCAGGAGTACCCCACAATTGGACAATTAATTGACAAACTTGTGCAAAACAATGTTTTGGTAATTTTTGCTGTCACGAATGAACAAGTTCACACATACGAGGTGAGTAAACCAAAATCTTCAGTTCTCCAGTATTTGCTAATAGGTTCACTATTTTTCATAGCTGATACACTCCAGTATTTAGGAGCCAATTCTGCAAGACATTTATGTAATAAAAATATCAGGGAAATTATATATCGGAGTCACAGAAAGACTCTTTTACTTAAAGAATGCTGCTTCCTGTATTGATTTTGATGTCCTTACGTTACTTTAAATTGGATTTCAAGGTGAATCATACCGTAATTTTCAAGTCAATCAACAAGGACTGACAAATGAGGCATTTCTACACTATTTGGAACCATCTCTGTGATTAGCCTTTTGTATTTGTGAGGGTAGATAAGGAGCCTATTATTCCTTTAATAAAACAAGAATGCTTTCTGACAAATATATGTCTTTATGCTCAACAGTGAAATAATGTAGGTTCTTATTTATTTATTTATTTATTTATTTATTTAACTGATCTGGGAATTTTATTTACTTTTCTTTCAGTACTCATCAGTACTGTTTTCTGTTTCTAATTTCTGTTCTCTCTGTGGCCCAAGGAATACTTTCCAGTGATTCTGTGACTGGATCTAGTTGTAGAGCTGTCTGAGAAAAGATAATACTCCAAGTGTTGGACAAAAGTTGCATGAGTGAAATCTCTCAGAAACTGATTCTCAGATGACAGCATTATCAATGAAAGAAAGCACTCTTCTCCTTCAAGCACTTTTAGAATGTGTATTGAATTCTGAGCTGAAGAATGAAAATTAAAATCCAGAGTAGAAGAAAGCAATCATTTACTAATGAATGCAGTGGGAACCTGCATAGATGAGTTAAATTTTTTTTGCATTAAGTAACGTTAGTTAAATCTCATTATTTCTCATCCATTAATAGAGGCCCACTTCATAACAATGAGATATTTTCACCAATGTCAATAGGAGCTGCAGAAATAGGGGCTGTTCTAGGAGGTTCTTTGGAAGTACCTCTCATTTACAGAGCTATATTTTGTCCCAAAAAACCTTTTCTCTTACTGATGGCATTATATTTTCCTTTAGAAATTGCAGGTGGTCACCCTCAGAGTTGGCCAACAGTGCTCTTATCAGCAGTTTTCTATTTCAGTTTCCTGTGTCAGTGTTATACCAATATCAAAGTTATCAAGTGGCACCCTTTGTTCACTGGGAACACTAAACGGAGATTTATAGCTAAAGAAAAATGCAGGCTATTGTTCAACCAACTGTAGAATTTTTGTTCTTGTTACTTTCTTAGTTAGAAAAGAAAAAATGCTGTTATCTTCTATCTTGTAGGGTATAGAGAATTCCCACTGAATATATTCTATCTGCTTCTTTCATCTTTTCAATACTGCTTTCCGTCACTTATTTGGATTTCTATAGTTGTTCTGCTCTGCTTTCCATTCTGTAGGTGACACAGAAAATCAGACAAAGCAAACACAAAAATTTATATGTCGTTCTCAGAGTACAGGTTTTTTCCTTTCATGATTGATGTAGGACATACAAACAGGATTCTAGTTTATAATACAAATGTAGACATGCACTTATCCACATTTAAGAGTTCAAAAAGAACAAAGCAAGGCAGAGATGTCTATTCCTGAGTTAAGGTCAGTGTTGATGAAGCTTGGAAGAGCTGGGTGAGGAGGCTGAATTGGCACTTGGTCATCGCCATTAAACCACACTTGTTCTGGCATTTTCTAAAAGTCTCAGTGGATGGACTCTCCTTATTAGAGAACCTCCTAAACTTGATTATCCTTTAATATATATCCATATGGCTCATCTAAAATCTTCTTGTACGCAGCATCTAATTATATCAGATCCCAAAATGGATCATTATTATTTATAATTCAGTTCTTAAGGACCAGCATGCATTAAAATGACTGTGAGGACTCAGTCAGCATCTCTTTAAATAAACTTGATGGATTCCAGTGTTCTTAAGTTCAGTGTTCAGACTGGCAAAAGCCTATTCAATATTTCTAGCCCTATATAATCCCCAACAACTTAGCCCAAAATAATTCATCTGTTTTGATCCTCTTGAACTGAATTTTCATTTAATTTCCGCTGAAATGTATGTATACCACTGAATATAGATTGTACACACACAGAATATATGCACCTGTAACATAGCAGGTTCTAGTTTTTGATCCTCCACGCAAGCATGCATCCATTGGATAGAAATAACCAGAGGATGAAGGTTGAGGTCTGATGCTCTCCTTGCCAGGTTGGCCATGTTTTAAAGCAGTCACATGGAAACGCACGTAAGCCCACTCAGAATTAAATGCAAGAGAGCAGAAGTTCTTACACTGAGCCCTGATCATTTGAGATTTGATTTTTAAAAAGAATTTTTTTAAAAGAAAAGTTATTTTAAAATATATTCACTTGTCTAATGTTTTGCATTATTAGTCTCTGCTGATCCTTACCGAAGCAGCAGGGAGTGTATTTATTCTCTAAATCTATTCAGTTAGAAAATATTTGTGAATATTTCTGTGACATTTTTATGAACTTTAAATCCCATTTTGGTATAAAAGAAAACACTCCAAGATTCCCTCAAGTAATTATCGTTAGTGCTGTTATCATTTGATTTCAAACAGAATTCTTTTAAAATTTATTCAAACTAGATGAGGGGGAAAAAATCCCTCTTTAGCCTTTCCTCAGTGTAATAATGGCAAAAATTATTCTTTTTTGAATACATATAGATAAATACATCACAAGAAATTACAGCTTGAAAATTGAGTTTTTTTCAAACTGTGTTTCACTGTTGAAAATTGGACTAAAAATACTCCAATCTTCAGAACTTGTTCAGAATTTCAAATGATTATTCATTAAATTTAGCACAACTCCTTATTTATGCTGAAAATTCTTCTGTCATTTGCACTGCTGGAAGTTAAATTTAACCCCGCTGAGCTCAAATATGTAATTCTCAAATTTCACTAATGGTGAATGAGAGAATTGCTAGAAAAATGCAGTTCATCTTTTAATGAATATTTGCTAAAAGACTGAACTCAGTGGCATTCTCTGGATAATTTTATGGTGGTAGCATATAATAGCATCACATTGCCTCCATTAATGGTTAAACAGAAATACGTGCTGAGAGGTGGGGTTTAACTAGGGAACTGAAGGGTCACACTTGCACTGGGCGTGCTCCATCATCCTTGCATCAGTATGCAGTGAAGTTTTCTTCTATGAGGAGAAAGTCTTCAGAACAGAACACCTCTGCTGTTTGTTTTGCATGCCGCAGATTAGAAGGGTGCTAGACTTTAAATTCCAGGTTTATCGTCTCCCTCCCAATATATAATCAGCTCATGGGAGGTCCGCATCTACAAAATGCAGTGTTTCAGTATTCTGAGAATCCTTGAGAGAGCACTAAGCACAAGAGGAGTCAGGAATGCGAAGTCACCAGCTGGAACACAAAATGCAGTTAATCCCACTGATTTACAATAGCACTTCAGAACTGCAACGAATGACAAGTATTCCATACATAATGTATAAAGTAATCACAGTGCTTTGGGAGATGTGAAGCATAGGAGGGATATAAGGCTATCAGATTAGCCATATTTATTAATAGTTCTCTGGATTTTTTTCAATTAAAATAACAGCACTGATACAATGAATTGTAGAAGAAAAATGAATGCTACAAAGTGTATTTTTAGCTGTGGTTGTTTGCTATTTTCAAAAGGCATAGGTACAAGCAGCTGAAATTCATGCAGTTAACAATCAGCCAAGATAAATTTTAACCAAGTATATTTAAAATCTATCTGCTGGATGTTATTTTAGCATCACAGTGAATTTAATGAAAAAGGAAAGGAGAGCAGAAAGGAAAGAAGAAACTTTACACTGAAATCAATTATTAAATTGGTATTATCTTATTAACATAAAGTCAACATACAGTGAACTACAGCCCCTGATCACTGGGAGATGTGTGGGGTGTTACAGCAATTGGAAACTAGCAGCAGATTTTTAAGCATCTTTGTTCAAAGTTCTTGTAGTCCTTAGTAGAAATCTCTTAACTAAGATGTTTTCTGTTAAGAGATTTCTGTGTCCTCCTATATAAAAATTCAAGATGTTCAGTTGCATGGAAAGGGAAAAAAAAAAAAAATAAAAAAAATAGGTGGCTGTCGTTACTGAATGTTGTGTCTAAGGCACTTGAATATTGCAGCAACAGTTGAGCAGCTGAATCTATTTTTTGTTTTTTATTTGTTTGTTTGTTCTGTTTTTTTAAGGAAAAACACAACTGTTGTGTATATATTCATTCTAAGTTAAAGAAAAAAAAGCTAGAAAATACTCCAGTGTCAAACTCGTAAGCACACTTAGCAACTTATTTCCCACTAATTGTCAGTGAAACTAATGCTTCTCCTTAAGACCTCTTCCAATATGACAAGTGTGCCATTGGATCAGCCAGAGTCCTTGAAAATGTCACTATCATTTATTTCAATTGGCTCCACTGTAGTTCATTCATTTCCAGACTGCAGGTCCTTGTCACCTACTCTGTCAACTAGTCTTTTTTTTTCTTCTTTTTTTTCACTGTTTTCAGAACTATGCAAAGCTTATTCCTGGAGCTACTGTTGGTCGACTGCAGGAGGATTCCGGAAATATTCTCCAGCTGATCATTGCTGCATATCAGGTAAGGTTACAATAATCTGTTTTCTTTCTACGTGCTTTCATTTTCAAAGTTAGAGTGCAATTCACTAAATCCAAGCACCTTTGATTCTTTTTCAGTACTGATGACAAGAACAATTTTGTATGTTTAGTTGCTGACCTCTACAGGGGAATTTTTGTTTGCTCCAAGGATGGATTGAGCGCAGAACCAGTACTTTTACTGACAATATATTACTCTCTACTGAAATGCTCAGTTAGCAGAATGCTCTGGCAAGAATCACTCTGTAGATTAGGAAGTAAAAATTGCCATTTGAAAATTGTTAACAATCAAGATTTAGACTCACAGCAATGAGACACCTCCATTTGTCACACAATTCACAATTAACTTATGTTATCCATTAGTGATCATAGTACTGTTGAGCAAATGAATAGGGCACTGTGTTACTAGCACTTGGCTTTGCTCTGCAGTGAAGTACAGAGAGTGACAGAGCTGATGTTAGGTACCATGGCACAGGCAGCTTTTTTGCAGCACTTTGCTGAAAAGCATTTTTTGTGCATCCATCCTATATTCTGCATGCATTATGCATGTATTTTCAAAGTATGTTACATTATTGAGATTGCAGTGAATGCTTGAGGTTGACTGCTCTGTTAGTTAAAGCTATATGTTTCATGGTTTTCCAAACAAAATTCCTGTGTGCTTCTGTCTCTCTTTACTTGTGCTGGAATGCAGAATTCACATCTTCATGTCTTCTATCTTGTAGTCCTCTATTTCACACTTGTTTCAAAGCTTTCTTTAATATAGGAATTCATGTCTTCCTGCTCAAAACTTCTGCAGGGCAATAATTCCCATCCTATCAGTAACTGTCCCTGGAGAATGCTCCAACATTTCCACAGGAATGTCTGGGGAAAAAACACTACCCTGTCATCAGTGCTGTTTTCTGATTTAGCAATTTGATGCTGCCCCTGTGAGGCTGTTTTGAGGTTTTTGAAGAGCAAAACACAAGAGGCAAGAGAAGTCTCAAATGGGTTGTTTTTGGTAATACTGAGAAAGACTGTGAATATGACAGAAAGGTAAATACAGAGCTGCTCTTCAGAACTTCGTTTGTAAAATGCATTCCTGCTACCTGGTCCCTTTCCTTCAGGGGAATGTTTTTAGACAGTTTGACACAGGTATATACATACACACATGCACACACATACATATATATGTACATCTTCTTATATGTCGATATGTCACAGAGTTTTCTCTTTACTCCTTTTTATCCTCCTTTTTATTAGAAACTTGCTCTAACTTTTGGCTACAATGAAAAATAATGCTTTGCGAAGGGCATTTTCTATTTCTTTCTGGGTTGGCTGGTTGATTTGTTTTTCTGATCTTCCTCTTACCTGCAGCATAATATAGTTATTATTATGCCCCCAAATTATTTTGGACATAATAATAGAAAAGCAAAACAAATTTTTCAAGTCTACTAAGTGCAGCATAATTGATTGCGATTTTAAAATGAAATACAAAATATCATTCTTTCCTATGGAAAATTTAGATGAGCAAAGAACTGTAAGGCTTTTTTTGGTGGGGTCAATGCATTATAATGATTAAGGAGAAACAATTGTCAGAAGTACAGTTAGCCCTAAATGGGCAGTGGTGTCCGGATTTCAATTCTGGAGTTTGACCTGTCAGTTGGCACATCTGGATTTCTTGAGGATGGGGCTCTGACAGAAAGACAGATGTTACTGCCTTTAATAGCTGAAACACCAGATTTTGTCCAACAAATATGGGGAAAATGTAAAATAATTGTCCCAGTGACATGTCCTGGTGATTTTACTGTAATGTTATATTATGTGCTTAACAGTATTTCCTCCTCATTTCCTCTAGTTGCATTGTTATGGAAACTTCGGTCTTGTTAGATGCTGGGAAGGTTTTTATTTTTTGACATTCTCACTGTTCATATTTGCCAGTTAGAATGAAGAGCATTTCTCCTTTCTATCTCAGAACAACAGTAAGCCTATCCTTCCTAAGAAATACGAGCAGAAGACATGACCTGCATGATCCATCCAGCACAGCGCTGTTTTTTCTCCAATGGCAATAGGAAATGGTGATGAGGGACAGAATGCTAGCCTGGCTTCTTCCTTTTCTTTCCTTTTTTTTTTTTCTACTCCTCTTCTTGAACATGCTGATATTTTCTGTCTCCTGCAGTACAAAGTTCACTTGCACCATCCCAGGTTCAGCCAGCTGTGGGCAGGATCTGGAGGAAGCAAGGAGCTCAGTGCTTAGTCTGTCCTGGAGCAGCTGGAAGGAGGCTACTGGAGCTGGGCTCCTGCCTCTGGGCCACAGCTCATCCTGTCCTAGCGCAGGTACAGCATGTCTGGGCCATCCACCAGTTGCTCATAGGTTCTTAAGAGCTCATGTATGTTTTGCACCATACAAACTGTACGAGTAGCAACATGTCACAATTTGAGAATTTCCCAGAGCCCGTTTTATTACGCTTAGCCTTTAAGGTTAACAACCTTATTGCCTCATGACTGAATCCTTTCCAAGCAGGAAACACTGAAAAACGCCTTATTTGACATATTCCAGTTTTGTTGTAAACCTTTTACACTACTCCTAGCAGTGCAGTTCAACACTCAGAGTTTATGGTTTTTCACCTGCAAAAACAAAGTAAATAACTATTTTCCCAGATGAGTAGTGTTAGGCTCTATCTTTTAACACTTTTAAAGTACTCTACAGCCTTTGCTGTACAAACACAAGATTTGTTAATAATGTTTACCGTGCACCATTATCGAAAAGCTTCAGAGAAGAAGTAAACAAGTCAAGAAAGTCTGAGCTGTCAAAATGTTTGTTACAAGGCGTTCTCATGTTAAGTATGATTCATTTTCTCCTGAAAGCATATTTCTGCCTGCTTTATTCTGTTTGGCTTTGTATTGCAGAGTTGCACTCTAACTTGCACTGGGACAGGTATCAAGCATTTTGATTGAGGTTATTTCAAGATTTTACCATTTTAGAAATATTTAACTTTTTTTTTTCAGTGCATTGCTCCTTTTTAACTTACACAACAATAACACAAAGAAATAATATGTTTAAATGAAAAGGGAATCATAAGTGAACTGGTACAGACACCACGACTCAATCAATGTATTACACTTTTGTGTTCAGCAGCATTTAAGTTTCTCTCATGGATGTATTGTGCTTGGGTGTAGTAATTTTGCAGCTGAGAGAACATTCAGTGATATAACATTAATACATGCAAAGTCTCACAGTTTTACCTTAAGGTTCGCTATATTTGGTCCTTTGGTGGGAGTCCAAACAAACCATTATCTAAGAATCTCTACATTGGCCCAATAGCAGCATAAGCAACTCCAGGACAAATGAAGGGGAAAAACTGAACTCATCCAGAGCTACCAAAATGAACAGCCTGATGGCTAGTGCATGGATTGCATGGTGGAAAGAGCACTGGATGTTATGCAAACACACCCTGCAGGATGTGTTGCTATCCTTTTTTAAAGTGCTTTGGTTTACTGACCAGGTTTTCCAAAAGACATTTAAAAAAGAACCCAGTCTCACCCCCGAGAAAAAATTCCAGAGAATCCAGGATGTGTACAAGGACAGGGAGATGCTGTCTGTGTAGGCCTGTAACTAGTCTCCTTTAGTTTCAGTCAGCATCACTTTTTTAACCTTCCCAGACCTTTACTCCAGTGAATCATCCTGATGCCTTTACTGAATGACTCACTGAAGGAAGATCAGCAAGATCCTCATGCCCTGATTGAAGTACAGTGGGTGTTCTGTAAAGCAATTAAGCTTGCAAGAGCACAAAGCTAAGTCAGTAAGACTTCTGCTCTGTGATTGCTAAGGTGCTTTTGAAAAATTTCCATTTACTGGATTGATGAGTTGATGAAGTCATAGGGAATTTCCCCATGTCCTGCTACAGGCTTTGGATTAAGGCTAAGTTGTGTAACCTAAGTTGCTATAAAAATATTTTGAAGTTAAATATATATTAAAATAGAGGATATGAGAGTATTCAGGAGGTGAGCTTAAGAGCCTTTTTCATTTAAGAAATGAAAGTTTGATTTAACAAATTTACTTAAGAAATGACAACACTATTGAACACAGCTTGAAACATCGCCGACAACTCAGGAAACCAAAATTTCTATTGGGTGAGAAAGGAGAACAGAATGAGCTACTAGGCTAGGTGAGCTAATTGTGGGGATAGGCTCTGGCTCTTGTCCTGCAAACATCAGGTAAAGGTACAGAGGCCCACAATGAGGCAAAACTGAGCTTGGAGCTTGCCAAACTGGAAGGGAGATTGTGAGGTTTGATTCTAAGAGCAGAGATAACAAGGAAGAAATATTGATTGCTGGCTAATCAAGAAAAGCCTGGAGCTAGCAAAGCAAACAGAGGCACAAATCCATTCCTCAGTAAGACCAGAGTTAAAGAAAGCCTGTATTAGTCAATGGAGTACTTAATAATGAAAGATGATTTAATAAAATGTTGATTTGTTCTTCTACAAGAGCAGGAAATAAGCACCGTGATACCGGATATTAAACTGATAGGACTCTGTGGCTTTGAGCTGAAAGCCGTCTCTGTCGGCCCTTTCTTTGTCTCACTCATTCTCCATTTTTCTTGCAATTGAGTATGTAAATAAAGTGCCAAAGCCAAACACATCTACTCCTGTGTAGCTGGGATAAGTTACAGTCCACATCACACAGACACAGGACATCAGCTGCGTGTGGCAGTGTTATCTCTTCATTCATCACACTCCTTTTCCCTGAAGGAGCTGAGGTCCGAAGTAGAGCTGGAGGTCTTGGGGGACACAGAAGGACTCGATCTCTCTTTCACTGCCATCTGTAACAATGGGACCTTTTTTCCACATCAGAGGAAATGCTCTCATGTGAAAGTGGGAGACACAGTAAGTAAGGAACAGATTCCCAAAAATATTAATTCATAGGAATTTAAAGCACCTGTATAAAAAGTTTGGGGTTTTTGTTTTTTTTTTTTGTTTTTTTAATAATCTTCCTTCAAGCAGAGAAACTCTTGTACCATGTTATGCATATATTTTCAGAATACCCTGCACTCTATGTATGCAGACACCATTTTCTCTTCCAGGTCTCTTTCAATGTGACCATAAGTCTGCCCACTTGTGATAAAACCACCAGGTATGTTGTGATAAAACCAGTGGGTCTCAGTGACATGCTGGAAATGGAAATCCTCCCTCAGTGCAGCTGCAGCTGCCAGGCCAAGGCTGAGAGGAACAGCTCGAAATGCAACAAGGGGAAAGGCACTTTTGAGTGCGGAGTGTGCGTCTGCCACCCCGGGTACATGGGTCCACACTGCGAGTGTGATGAGAATGCTCTCAGCACTGGATCCTGCAAGGGCTCTGTGGAGCAGAGCTCCTGCAGCGGGAGAGGCAGCTGCTATTGCGGGCAGTGTGTTTGCCACCCATCCATGTATGGAAGAGTTTACGGAGCGCATTGTGAGTGTGATGACTTCTCGTGTGTGAGACACAGAGGGCTTCAGTGTGGAGGTAAGCTCCCTGTGGGTTGTGTCTAGTGTCTGTGATTTAGAGCACTGTTGTATCCCTCTTACTTACGAGCATGCGAAGTTCTTTTTTGGTTATATATTTGATTACAATCAGTATGCGTAAAAGTAGCATGATCCTTAGATTTAAAATATATTTTTTACCCTATTTTGAAATTTTTTAATGGAACATCTTCAGCCACACCACAGCTCATAGAAGCTGGTATCACTTTATTGGACTGTACCCTCCTCTATCACAATGGGTTAGAGTTTTAGCGGTTGTAATGGCTGTAGCTTTAAAGAAGTTTAGTGAAGTTTATTGACATACACTGATGTGAAGCAGTGTACAACTTCACTCTGACGTTCCTAACCATTTTGGGACACATTCTGATTTACATATATTGTATGTAATATAATTTAACCCAGTAATCCAGATGATTCCAGCTGTTCTGGCTTCTGTGAGTATGATACAATCAGAATGTGAGGAGTTGTGTTAGTCATTTTTTCCTGAGCTCTACAATCATCAATCAGTAGTGATTCTACTGAAACAATGGGAATAGTATTGAATAAGCAGGAACCAGCAGTGAGATTGTGCTGAATAGATAGGCTGCATTCATGCTGCTGGAAATGAAACAGGATTTATCCATTAAGTTGTGCACTCTTGGGAGATAACAATCTTTGTGGAAGACTCCAGTGAAGAGAACAGAGTTGTGCTGGCTTGCAGCCAGCCTAAGTGAAAATTTGATCCACTAGCTTAAGACTGAAATACAGAGGAGAGGAAGAAAGAGGTTTAAGAGTGAGAAGTGTTGGAATAGAGAAAATATCTGTTATTAAGAATGATTTTAAAGGCTGTCATTCCAATTCATATTGAAAGACTTAGCTGCAGTAATAAATAATAAATGGTTTTCCAGGCAATGGAGACTGTGACTGTGGCGAATGCGTGTGCCACAGTGGGTGGACTGGTGAATACTGTAATTGCACAACTGACACCAGCTCCTGCATTTCTGAGGATGGAACGCTATGCAGCGGGAGAGGTGAATGCATCTGCGGGTCGTGTGTGTGCATTCATCCAGGGGCCTCAGGCCAAACATGTGAAAAATGCCCACTGTGTGGTGACCCTTGCAGTTCCAGAAGGTAAGCTGCTGGTTTTATGTCTCTGATTTTGATGTTATTGAGCTATTTCCCAAAATGCCTCAGCAATGTGTTTATTGCCACAACAGCAGGTTGGATTTACAGACTGAAACCCAAGAGCCTCTTGTCTGTTGAAAGGAGTAATCATAACTCATACATGAACAAGAGTATGATTCTTGTAAAAACAAAAACAAAAACAAAAAAAAGTGGAGGAAAACAATTTAATCACCTTCAAGCAGCACAAGTAAAGCACTTCCAGTACTGTCCCTGGCTATACTAAGAATCAGAATCTGATTCTTAGTCTGAATATCTGATAACTTCAGACAAATACAGATCAGTTTCCTTCCAGTCCACAGTGCAGAATGAAACCATCCCAACAGAAGTCACTTGGGCAAATTAATGAGGACTCACAGGGAAGAAACTCATAAATTTTTGAAATTTGCATTTGTTCACAAACACATGAACTAATAAGGTGATGTTGTCTGCTCAAGCTATGAACATGCATATTTACAAATTGAGTTAATCTTGATTGAATTAAGGAGGCCCAACTATCTTGTTTTGTGACTATGTCATGCCTAGTTGCTTAAAGTGGAGGCCCATTCCTCCTCCACACCAGCTCTACACCACTGCATTTTCATGCCTGTCTTTCCAGTCCACCCTATAGCTGAGCTAAGAAACCCTTCTGTGGCACACAATATAATCACCATTTATGCTAGCACTACATTTGACACACAAAAGCAAGCCAGTCATTTTGTTCAAAGCTCATGCACATTGGCCATAGTGAGCACAGTTTAAGTAAAGAAACTTCTACACGCAGGTGCTTGAAACACAAAGTTCAATGCTGCTGCCTTGCTCTGCCCAGTTTAGCAGAGAATAGTAAGTATTGAATTACATGGTGAGCATTGCATTAGCCTATTTAAACATACATACTCTGTGCAGTGTCAGATCTTTTGTCTCCATGGCAGTTACTTCCGTTGCTGAGATGTGGGGCAGGAGCAGCCAGTGTAACACTTGGCAGTCTGGGGTAGGGTAACCAAGAGTGCCAGGAGGACAGGTCAGAGGGGATTGAGATTAATGGCTGTGAAAAGGAGAGTGGTAGCATGAGGAAACATGGAAAACATGGCAAAAATACCAACAACACTCAATTTGTCTCCATGAGATAGAGGCTATCCCATTACCTACTCACCTTGACTATTCAGCATCTCCAGAGTGAGTGTTGAGGTCATCTCCATCGTGAGAAGATAATCTCAGCAGCCTCAGCATATTCTCGTGGATATATGTAATTCAGTGCAACAGCAGATGGCCAGGTTTTCCTGAGACGTTTTGTTGCTGTTATTCTCTTTTCCTTTCTCTAAGCTGAGAAAGGAAAATCTTTCTTACTTTCCCTATGTACTTCAGGGCTGTTCTTAGAGTCTCAACTCCTGAACTTGACCAAAGCTAATTGTGCAGAATCAGCAAGATATGTTCTTCATCAAAATTTTTCATTTATGAATTCTGTTACATTTTTGCCCTTTTCTCCCCATGAATGAACTCTGAATTTATGAAAGTTCACATTGCGTTTCTGGGAAGATTTTTACAGACTTGGTTTACAGAATTGGTTTAGACTCTGTAGTTTAAAATATTTTAGCCATCACTTTGTTAAATGAAGTAAATGATTTGAAAATTCTTTTCCAATAAATGCATTAGTATAATTAGCGTCTAAGTAATTCCTGAGACAAGCAATCACATTCGAGAGACATCTGTCGAGACACCTGAACTGTGTTTAAATACATTATTCAGTAGACTTTCAACAAAGGAAGACTTATAGTAGGTGCCCCAGCTTGATCTCACTGAAGTCAATTTCAAATATTTTTCATCTGATAGACATTCCTTGGGCTGGTATTTAGTGTAAGCTTACTTCAGAATATTTATACTTGAAAATGAATGTTATGTCTGAGTAACCTCATGTCTTTGATAGTACCACATGAATAATTTTGCCTGGGGTTCTGTCTGGTAGCTAATAAGCTGGGAGAGAAAGAGGACAAGAGAGAGCTTATTCACAATACCTTTATTCAGGTAGTGCTGTTTTTTTTTGGGTGGCCTTTTTTTTTTTTTTTTTTTTTTTTTAGTGACAATACCTATCGTATTTCTGAGAACCACTGTATCCATAGCACAAGACCTTTTGTTTAGCTTCTTTTTAAAATGCAGATGCGTACGTAGTTGCTTTTATATCAGTACTTTGGGACAGACAGAGATGGATGAGCTGCTGAATTATTTTCTACAGGAGCTGTGTGGAATGTCATTTGGCTTCTGATGACAAGCTGCAGGGAGAATGCAATGAAAAATGCAAATCAGTTGATGCAACTGTCAGCACTGCAGAGGGTTTGTATACTCAATCTCTTTTTGGTGTGTGGGTGATCAGTGATAGCTTCCACTTCTGGTAATTTTACCTTTGAAAGTAGCTTTGTTTTTCTGCTGTAGAATTATATTAGGGCTCATAAAGCAAGCCGTCTGCGGTTGTTCTGCTGTAAGTAGGGAATGCAGATCAGGACTGGCATTAACCCTCCAGGTTAATTAACTCATTGGATTGCACCTACTTGCTAAGCAGCTTATGTAAGAAAGAACAGAATTTAAGTACCAGTTCCTGCAAATCAGTGGCTGATGAAAGTCCCTGTAGTTGTCACACCTGTACCGTAGGTTCCAGTGGGGCTTCTTTTGCCATACAAATTCAAAACCTGACTCCAGTCCTTATGCAGATGGTTGATTACCATCTGCAATCAGACACAATCCTTTAACCTGTCGCAAATATGTTCTTCTTGTCAGGCTTTTTTGAGACATTTCTGGTGTCCTAAGGGCTAAGCATATTTTCTTTCAGTTACTCGCAGTAATTTAGAGTTGCACTCCATCAACAGGAATTCCTGCAGCAGGAACTGACCTGGAATGAAGTGTTATATTTGGTAAAAAACATAACTTTACATGGAAGAGTGCATCAGGGCATTTTTCTGTCCTACAAAGGAGGATGCTTGCCTGTAGTGCAGGTAGGCTCTATTTATTCTGAATAAAGCAAACACAGCCCTATGGCAAAAAGCAATTGGTAGCTGAGGTAGGACATACATGCACTATACACAGCATTTAGTGTTAGCGTTAAATTATATAGCAAGCATGATACTTACGATGGTAACACAGAATACTGTATGCATAAATAAAGAACAAAACGTATAAACTGTTGGAAACTCATCTGCATATTTGCAAACATTTCATGGATGCATATCTTTCCAACAAATCTCCAGCTTTTTTGTTTGTTTGTTTTGTTTTTTTTTTTTTTTTTAAATGGTTTTCCTCTGTAATACAGAGTTTGAAAGTGGCAAGTATTTCCCTTGTAAGGAAGGTGTTTCATCTTAAATACATGTCAAATACTTCAGAGGATTAGTTTTGGTAATGAGGTAGCCTCATTAAGATGTCCCAAAGGTGGAAAAAATAAAATAATTAAAAAAAAATTATACAATTAAAAATCTTGAAATCAAAACCATATTCCCTAAACAAAAATATTTTGAAAATAGTTTATGTAGATCATCGCAGTATTTAAGACATATGTTTATCATGATTTTATATGGTAGCATAATGCTTCTTTCTACTTTATATTTCAGCTTCTTTAATTTGTCGTAGCATTTTGAAAAAACATAAATAACCCTAGGCTAGATAAAAAGGTTTACTCTTTCTTTTGCACACATATGTTGCAACACAGTGACAAGAGCTGGGGAGCCACAAAGAAAAGTTTACCTATCTGAGTGAATTTTTGCACCTAGGAATTGTCCATTCTTTAGTCTTCACTCAATATCTCGTCCTAGAAATAACATCAGAGGGGTAAAAATACTAAGCATAAGTTGGATTCTGAATAGCCCAAACTGGCATCTTTGCATTCAATTCTATGTCCGTGAACATACTCAGATTTCTACATCCCATGGTCTCCAATTATGACATTGAACTAACCTAAACTTGTAATAAAAAACATCTTCCTTATATCCAATCTAAATCTCCCCTCATTGGATTCTTTGGATCTGCTTGCTTAAAGGAGTTGGGAAACAACAAATATTGCAAAACCTGTGATAGCATTACTGGAACTGTGACCTGGCAGAGAGTGTCATTAATTGAGTGCGCTCAGTCAACAAAAGCAAATCTTGACAAATCAGCATGTCTTGTCCAACTGTCGCCTTAACACATTGCTCTGACATCAAGGACAGGCAACAGATTAAGTACAAAATTATCACAGATCAAGACCAAGTTTCCAGTAACATCCAACCAGATACGGTTCTCACTTCATAAGAAGGCTCTCAACTGATTGTGCTTTCATACTCCTTCTACTCTTTGCTATAAAACTCTTTTTATGCTTTACTTATGATAAAAAGTGAGCATTTATTTCTTTATGCATGATAGATTCTTTAAAATCTATTATCCTTGTCAGGTTCCTACTTTATATTTCATTACTCTTCCTTGCTATTAAAGTCCGAGAACTAAATACTTTTGACACAGTTGCTTATGAAATTTCAGTAGGAGTTTTGACTGGGTAAGAAACAGTACAAGGATTGTATAGACGTAATATATTTCTTTTTAAATAAATGTTTGAGAACTTTACTGTTTTTTCTTGCCTCTACAAATAGAAATCTAAGAAGTTTTTTCTAAAAATGTATTGAAAGCATACTTAGCTTTCCAATGGTCCTTAAATAATGGGTTTTATGGAAACTCAATAAGCATTCAGCCACAGCACTTGTGGACCTGCAGTCTGAATTTTCAGTCCTCTTCTTTGCTTCATACTGTCCTTTGTTTACACTGCCTGTCACAGCCAGTTTCTCCTGCCTCCCTCTTGCCTTTGAGAGAAGGAAGAAATAAATGGCAGTCCTTTTATCCACATCCATTTCTGGTCAACATATGCACATCTACTTCTGAAATGGAAGAAATAGAAGAAATGAAAATTCTAGGCATGTGAGAAATAGTTCTAAACCAAAGAGAACATGCTGCTTACTTTGTCCTATAACTGGGGACGTTTCCCAAGCAGCTGACTCTTAAGCATTTTGGAAGCACTTCCACTGAAATTCTGAGGGTACTTCTGTTTTCTTCTTTTACTCTTCGCTTTACACAGAGGTTATGATAAAAATTATGCCAGCAATCTCTCTTGTTATTGCATGCTGAAGTCCGTTTGATCTAATGGATGATTTTTTTCCTCCTTTGCAGATTTTTCAGAGGATAAATCCATTCCTTGCTCTTTGCAGGGGGAAAATGAATGTATAACCACTTTTCTTCTGGCTGAGGATGAGCAGGGCAAGACAGTCATACACAGCATAAAGCAAAAAGGTAAGCAATTATGTTACCTTTTCTACATGACATCTAATTTGAAAACACAGATGGGAGAAACAACCAGTTCCAGCAACACAAGAAGCTGAGCTTTTCTAAACAGCACTGCACCTCCTTGTGTTTGCAGCTCTGCTCTGCCCAGGCAAAAGAGCACCTCCCAAACCATTTACTCAATGCTACTACAGTAAAATAAATGCTTGGCCTGTCATGGAAAATGGGCAGAATGATCCATTGGATTAATCAGACTTTGCTGAACTCTGCACTCAGGCTCTCTCAATGGCATGAAACAAGCCACTTCACCTCTCCTCTCAAGTTTCCTACCAATAAATCCTTTATCACCCTCAGAGCTGCAAGAGTTTGTTAACTTTTCTAAAGTCCTGTGCAGATGATGATAACAAATGTCCTCTGATTATATGAGAAAACGATAACCCATTTTGAAATAACATACACTTTACAGATTGAGTGGCAAACACTCAAAAGACAGTATCTGACTGCATCACCTACCTGATGAAATGCTGGAATATCTTTGTAATTATCTTTAATGTTGCATTATTCAATTTTGAATGCACTGCCCATATAACAGATATTCAATAGATCTTTTTACATTTTATTTTTTTTTCTTTTCTATCTTTCTTTCTTTATTTTTTTTTAACTACTATTTCACTACTTTTACTATTTCAGTAAAGCTCCTCACCTTGTGGGACAGGAGAGAACACAGGCACCGCTTCTCAGCTGCCAAAAAATTTGGTCTCCAAGCAAAAAAATGCATTTTTTTCTGACACCCCCAGTGTCTCAGTGCCAAATATTGATCATATTTTATGGAAAGCCATGCAGACTTTTAATTTAGTTTAGTTGGTTCAAGTGTCATATATTTTGTTAACCCTGTGTGTAGCTTTACTCTAGCATACATGTGATAATGATGGTGATTTCACTGCACAAAAAACTGCTTCTATAGTCTGGTTTTATATAGGTTATGATTGAAGAAAAGAAGTTATAACAAACATTTAAATTACAGAAACACATTTGTTTGTAAACTATACTTCTAATAAATAAGGGTAAGCTACTGAAAGATTGTGTCTTTATTAAATCCATTCTACTTTCTTTTTGCATTTAGTCTAGCTCTCTCTTTGCCCCTTGTCATCTGTGGTATTTAGAAGCCTGACTCAGGCTATCTTTGTTTGGTATCTTTTTTTGAAATCATGCTTCCTGTTTAAAACCATATTTACCTATTAAGTACTTCATTTGGCTCCCATTCTAACACAACTCATCAAATTCAAGTCGCCGGTAGTGAAGTACTTCACCTCTTCAGCTAGGTGAACACAACTCCCTCCAGCCTCCCTCTGCATCACTGAAGCAGATGACAGTCTTCCTATGTGCTATTTTAATTAACTTTTTTTTTTTTTTTTTTTTTTTTTTTTTTTTTTTGTCTTTGGAATGCTGTACAATAAAACTTACTGGAAAACTTGAAATGTGAAATTCCTTCAAACTGAAGAACTGAACATGTCACTCTGGCAGTGTTACAGAACAAAGTTCTTTTTCCCTACTGTTACTTTGACACTGAATTTCTACAAGACTGTCACAGATGAACTAAGCATTTCAGATGCAGTAGAACCATGTGCTTCTGAACACGGTAGTTCAAGACTTCTGCTTAGCTGTTGTGAGATTCAACAGAATTTAGTGAAGTTCTGTACTTTTTGCTTTTCAGCAAATCTGATGTTTTTCCTCCTTGTTTTCGTGACTGAAATGCAGTTTCCTCCTTTTTCTCAATATCACTGGTACCTTTACACTGATACATATATACCTGGGACTGTTTCCTCTACGACAGTCTGAATATGAGTCAGATGAAGTAAAACTTCAGCTGTATGTTTAAAAATTCATGATTTTGTCAAAATAGTCCTATTTTTTAGAATTATGATGACATAAATTTGAAAACAATGTTCTAACTTTCCTCCTCAAAATCTGAGTCTGCATTCAGATACGACAGCTAAACGTGCCAAAATAGCAGTGGAAGTAGTTAGCAAGAATTTTTTTTTTACATTTCAAGGCAATATTTTTCAGTTATTTAGCAAGCTGATAAGAGTAAAATTATATGGACTTGAAAGAAAAGGCATGCTCAGTTTCCAGCAAATGAGAATAGAATGCTTCTTGGCTGTCTTTAATTGCCTAAAACTTATTGTTTGGATATCCACACTCATAATTGTTTGTCTTTCCACAGATTGCCCAGAGCTTCCAAACATCCCAATGATAATGGTGGGCGTCACCCTTGCTATCCTTCTGATTGGCATTGTGTTACTTTGTATATGGAAATTGATGGTGTCAGTTCAAGATCGAAAAGAAGTGGCCAAGTTTGAAGCAGAAAAATCAAAAGTTAAATGGCAAACGGTATGTTAAATGTACTAATTTTACACAAGGCTCTTCATTTTTATTTCATGAGGCACAAGTGCCCTTAAAAGTCTTGGTTGTGTTCTTTTAAATGGATTGATTTTACTGGTAGATTTTCATTACTTTTAATTTAGAGATGAAAAATAGCCAGAGTTCCACCTCCTGGTTTAATTTCTTCCATGTGTAAGTTGAGGAGATAACATTCTATTAGTTGGTTCATTTTTTGTTTGTTTGTTTGTTTAATTAGTACCTCACTTTTGATTAATCTGAGCATAGTTGGTCACTGTCTATGCAATTGTGAGAAGCATGCTCCTCAGAAGCAAAGCCTGCTGTACAAAAGAGAGGTTACCAGTGCCCTCTGTAACAGCTTACACAGCAGTGTACACTGCCCAAAATGTATATAAAAGGACAGAATGATCTACCCTTAGCTTCTATCTATATCTTGCATAGGTCTAATGCAAGTACCATGTTCCTTTTTCCTATTTCCCCTTTGTCCTTGGCTTTCTTGTTCTTCAGTAATGTTTCTACAACTTTTCAGACTTTCTGAAGAAAAAAAAAAAAAAAAAAAAAAAGATGTTGAGTAAGCATTTCTGATGGGTGCCAGGAGGATATGCAATATGCTACAGTTTACTTTGTTGCACTCCTCTACAAAACCAAGGATTGCAACATTTCTGCAAGAATGGACACTGCCTGCCTTTCAGTTTCTTTGACAAGAAAAATTAGTTTGTTACAGGCAAGACCTCTTGAGAAAGTTTTCGTAATCCTTTAGGAGGGTCAGGGTAAGAGAAAAGGGAAGGCAACAGTAGACAGAAATATTTCATTTTCTGACACAGAAGGAAATGATACAAAGAGAATGGTGAGAAGCCAGTAGAAGGAGCCCAGGTGGGACTTGCCCTTCTCCCAACATGCAGTAGTTGGCGTGGCTCACACATGAAGGCTGTGACAAGTTGCACCTCCCATCTCACGGCTGTTTTCTCAATGTTTGTGTATTCTTTGTGTTTTTAGAATGGTTGAGCCATGTTTAGTACGCAAAGATCAGATCTATTTGGTAAGGCATTGTTTGAGCGTGTGCATTACTTTAATCTGGGCAGCAGACTAGGGCCTTTGTGCCCATACGCTGACTTGCACTGCCTCAGGGTGGGCTCATTTTTAGTGGCTTGGAATATCAGAACACCAATAAAGTCTATACTGAAATGATGAAAAGTACAAAATAACTTCTGTACAAAGAAAGACCAGAACACTTTGCAATGGGGAAGTAACAGTGGGAGGAGGATGTGATACTATAAAATTATGACTGGGGCATTGAATGTAGGATGTTTTTCCACTGCATAAAAACGGTAAGATAGCAGGCTTCAGAGAAACAAAAGACATTGTTATACAATGCCTTTTTGAGGCCACACAATTTATTTCCAAAGGTATTTCAGATGATAAAACTTTGCATAGATACAAAACAGAGAAACCTGTTCAAGGAAGGCATCCTCTCTGCTCTTGCAAAATTAAAGATGGTGGTTTGCAACAATACAAGCTTGCAGCTGAAGACAGTTAAACTCTGAATTATTTTCTTTTCTTTTATTTTTCTTTTCTTTTTTTAGGAAACAAACCCACTGTACAGAGGTTCAACAAGCACTTTCAAAAATGTAACTTACAAGAACCAAGAAAAGCAAAAAGGGGCCATGGCTGCAGATTTCTATTAGCACTTTGAACCCTACAAACTTAGTTTTACTGTCGAGAAATCTAAAAACACTAATTTTTGTCTCTTCTCAGTTGATTATGTGCTCTTTGTTTGCACACTGCAGTATAATCATTCTGTTAGATAAAATGTATCTTGTGGTGGAAGAGCTATAGATAATAATAGTAGTAAAGGTTAAAGAAATATATTTTTTACAAACTTTAATATTAAACAACTTCCATCTCAGAAAAAAATGGTATCACCTAATATTTTAAATTAGCTCATTAATACTGAGCTATATATGACTTTGTTCATCCACTGAATCTGATATGTTTGTGTTTAGGAATGTATTTATACCAGTCCGTTTGGTGGGCTGGCTTACATTTAACAAGGTAAATTTTTCATAAATGCTGCTTAAACTGTGGAGGTCAGTGGTTTCTCATATTGACTCTGTAACTGAACAGGTTTTCATCAGAAACAAATGATGTGTGTTACGGCATAATTTCCATGTATCTAAGGTATATAAAAATACTCCTCTGAAGTTCTTCCTTTTTCTCCTACTTCCCTCTTTCCTTGACCTTGAATTGGTTCTGTTTGATGCGGTTTAAGAATCAAACCCCTAAGATTATCTCAGGGAAAGCTAAATCAAGCCCTAATTGACTCACATAAATGCTCTCTGTCTAGGTATGAAAGACTTTCCCCCTCTTTCCTTTAAGTTTCAGTATAGAGGATCAATAGCAAAAGAGAAATATTTGCAAATTAGAGACAGCAATAGAGAAGTTTTAGATCAGAGGATTTTTACCATTCACTTCCTGATTAGGCACTCAAAATAAACTTCTCATGCTGGACTATTATATGAACTCCTGCATGGGCTCTTTACATGCATGGAAAGCTGAAGCACAAAGGCTTTGTATCACAAAGACAGTAGTTCTTTGTTGAGAAACCCTAAACTGAGAGGTTCTTTCAATGCCCAGCAGCCAAACCATGTATTGATGTGTGAAATAATATATATTCTACTCTTTGGGTTTTTTTTTTCCAAACTAAGCAATAGATAGATCAGTGAATTTCACCTGCTATTAATTTCCATGCCACTACTGAGGATTTTTAAATCTCACTTTTAACTCGGTACTAATGACTCACCGTAACTTCTTAAATTGTAATGCTGGTATCTTGACATCAAGAAAAGAAGCCTCAACAACATCAGCTAACCCAATGGATTAAAAAGTTACAGTTCTGGGCTATTTTAGGCTAACAATAGTGTAGTTTACTTTTTAATATCATTTTTTTAATGCTCTGGAATAGATGGTCAAAATGCAAGTACTCAGAAGACTTAGAAAACAAAGATATACTGGCACAGTCACAGTTGGTGATGTACATTCCCTGTGGTAAATTATGCATTTGATCTAAAAACTTGTTGTCCATTTTGTAATGAATACTTACAACGTCTGTGCAACTTCAGTCTCTGTATCATCTACAACCACTGGATGTGAGACTGATACTATCATGCCTGTTTTAGGGCCTGATCCAAATCCTATTGGAATCAGTGGCTACAGATGAGGATCTAGTTTCAGTGAAACTATTAGTTTTGGTTTACAATGATTGTTTAGTTTAAACAAACCAGTTAATACTGTCTATTAGTGGGTTAGAACTCATGGAACCTATGTTTCTGTGCGAAGAGAAATAAACAGTATCTGCTGCCTTTGGGAAGAAGGTGCTGTGATGAGCACGTAAGAAATACAAAATGATTGCAGTATGAAGGGAATGATGACTGTCATTAAACTGGAACAGATTAATTACAGATTACATCTTCATTTTTCAGTACTCTTGTGTATCTCAAAATGAAAATGTACATAGACAAATTTTCCCTTGTTTTCTGCTTATTACCTCTGTTTTCCCTTACTATCTCCTGTTTCCAACCACTAAACTGCCAAAGATATAAGTGCAAGTTGCTAAATCCTGCTTCCCTGATACACAGATAAACCCCTGGAGGCAAAGCTGGCCCCTGGGCTGTCTCAGATTCTACTTGGGCCAGGATTGCCCAAAGGAATAGGGAAATCTAGATTTAGCCCATGTGAATAATCTGTTACTCTTCTGTTTTTTAAGTAAAGACATTGAATGTCAATATTTTTCTGAAAGAAACTGACCTAGTATTTTGTTGTTGTTGTTGTTGTTTTTACTTTTTAAAGTATAACAAAATCTTCACTGTTTATTGAATATCTTTTAAGTTCTGTTTCTGATAAAGTTCATTCTGCAGCTCAGTGGGAGTGTTGAAAGCTCTTCTTCTGTAGGTCACCCATTTCAACACTGAACTACTTTTCCGTATTTAAACACTGTTATCAAAGTAGTGTTCACATTCCACACAAAATGTCTGTTGGTCTGCATTCTGTGTTTCTATAAGAGATTTCATTTCTCTAAATTCTGCAGTCTGTTCACATCACTTACATCTTCTGATTGTCAGCAAAGATCCAATTTGGGAGGGAGACAACATTTACACTCCAGTTAAACCTCCTAGCAATGTCTCTGCAAATTATACAGAAATTGGGCAGTGTCTTCTGCAGTTTCCCTGCTGTGACCAAGAGTAGTACAAATGTGCTGTGCCACTTTCAAAGCTGTCAGGAAGAAAATAACTGCAATTAGAAGAGAGTAAATAGAATGGCTTGGTGAGAAAGCCCTCTGCTACTGAGGAATGAACCAAGCTTTTAACAGCGTTAATTTAGATCATACATTTTTACCAAAAAAAAAAAAAAAAAGCAAAACAAAAAAAATCCCCACAAACATAACTGGATCTCAAGATCGTAATTGGCATTCACTGTAGAAACATAGTGGTGTTCATGTCTTTTTATTAATTATATTACTTTCATCTTGCAGTATGTGTATAAATGTTCACTTTTCTTTTTTTCCTTTTTAACTCCACCAAATTACCAGTGGGTTGGTGTGTGGTGAGTGGGATGAAAATGTCTTTCTGCTGTTTTTACAAATATTGTTTTGACCTGGGGGCTGGACCTTGAGGGTGGCCAAAACATTTTTAATAGGAATTTTATTAACTGAAGACTTAAACTACGTAATAACAATAATAATAATAATAAAAATCATTAGCAATTTTATGGTATTTGTGTGTCTTTTACATCTTGTAGAATGGTATTTTCATTAATGTGTATTGAATTGATGATTTTTCATTTGATTTATATGTTAATCCGTGTTGTATCTGCCCAGACTGCATTTAACCTTGGTCTATAATTATAGCCAGTGAGTAATGAGCCTGGCATACAAGTGTGAGGTGTTAGCATGTGGTACACTCTGTGTTGTCCACCATCATGCAGCAGTCCAAGTTTCTTTTGCAGTGGCCATAAGGAAGTTACTGCCTGACAAAACATAACATGCACAATCTGAAAGTAAAAAGGAGATAATTCTTATCTTGGTCTGTTTGCAAGAAACAGGTAAATACCTCAACTTTCTGTAAAAGAAGGATTACTGAACCTTCAATAAAGATTGTAAAATTGAATGCATATTTTAATACACTTTTTTAAAAAATTCTTCTTTCATTTTCCATGTCAGCACGTCTGTCTGTTTGTTTGTTTTTCTTCACATGATTTGATTAAAGTCAGCAAATTTCTCATGTTTTGGTATACTGTAGCAGCTAATTTTATAAATCCTCCTTCACCTTTCTTGAGATGCTATGTGAGAAAGAAGATGTCAGGACATTCTTTTATCTGTGATTCTTTCACTTTTCAAGGAAGCGAGTTAATGGGTGAATCACGTAAGCAACTCATTTCTGGAAGTCCAATTGATTACATATGGCATTCTTTACATACAATGACACCTAAAGCACACAACTTGTTTAAAGCTGAAGATACATTAATTTTTTAAGTGTAATAACAGTAGTATCTTTGGAACCACATGGCAAAGTGAATAATTTCTGTTCTGTACGAATATTACCTCTCCTTCTCTCTTTTTCTTTTTCTTTTTTTTTTTTTTTTTTTTTTTTTTTAATCTCTAATTAAGAGTGATTTATTTTGATTTCTGCTAGTTTCCTGCTCTGGGTGGAGGACATTCCTCTGCATCTTTGATAGAGCTGTATTTTAAAACCTATTGTATTCTACAGACACACATTAAGATCACGTTCTTCTGAATTTCACAGTGCATTGTATCTATTGACATCGATACAATTGCATAATGTATACTTGTGGGATGTAGTTTAGAAGGCATCATACCCTGAAGGCTTATATACATTTTTATTTTGTTTGGTTCCTAGGAATCATTCATGCTTTGAAACTTTTCTTCTGTTTTCACTGAGGTACTTATCAGCTAACACTGACAGCCACAAAAGCACAATAATTACACACTGGAAGGCTGAATGAAAAAGGTTTGGCTATTAGAAGATGCTGGTAGAACTTTGTTTCTTTGTTTCTAATTCAGGCACTTTGTTCTGCCTATCACTGTGTAAACAGCAGAGAGGACCAAAAGCTGATTTTCACTGCAACCTCTTCCTGCTCCTATTACTCACACTGCAGCATAGCCTTCTTTTTTAATCATAACATATAATAGTTTCAAGACGTTCTTGTATTTAGATAGATAAAGTTCTCAAGTTATTATATATATTTTTAAATGCTATTTTTCCATAGGCCAACTTCACTCAACAGTGGCTTTTTCATTACTGCTTCCACATTTAGATGAGGTAGGAGTATAAATAAAAACAAGCTGCTTATGTATGAAGAAACAGGAAATTTCTATTCAGTGTTCAGTAGTTGGAAGTTAACCGTGTTTGGAAAACTTCAGGCTTCAAAATTCTAGTTGCTGTTGGTCCTCTTAAGTGAGAGGCTAAGGCATACTTCCTCCAAAACTAAATTAAAAATCAAACCTATAATTATAATATAATTACCATGTAACAAACTCTCAGTGGCTTCTATTTTAGGCTATGGTAAATTTGAAAAAAAAGATACATGTAAAAAATAAAATAACAAAAAAACAAACAAACAAACAAAAAGCAACAAAGAACTCAAACCAAACAGAAGAAAAAAATATAAAATCCCCACAGTGTTAAAAGTGCAAGAGAAATGAATCCTGAGAATATATCAAATGAGGAAAAATAGCTGTTCAAATTAAGGATCTTCAAAAAACAGATCATCATGTTGGTTTTACAAACCCGTATGCCCACAATGATCTTTTATTACTGCAACACAGAATAGCTCAGCTAGAAATACCCTGAGCAGTGCAACTGCAGCAGCTGCTCTAGTAGGAATTTACTGGTTTAGTAAGAACAGAACAGTTCCTAGATGGTACAGGTTTTTGGTTTTTTTTTTTTTTTTTTTTTTTTTTTTTTTTTTTTTTTTTTTTTTTTCAGGAAGGAAAACCTGAAAAATGAAGAAAAAGAAAAAAGGAAGTAAAGCTGCTCAGAATGAGCAAGTTGCTAATTTGACATTAACACAAATATACTTGGTCTAGGTTGAAAAATCCCTCTGTGCTGGTGCTCCCATAGCCCAGAGCAGCCCTGGTTTTGCCCAGTGGCACCTCTGCCTTCACAGGCAGGAATGTAAATCTGCTGTGTGTTCTGGAGCCTGTAAGCCTGCTTGAAGCTCTGGATTCAAAGTAGTCACCAAATACTCCTGAAGAGACTGAGACAGGCCAGAGGGGCCAAATTCTCAAAACTTGCTTGCTAATGAGCTTCTCTCCTAAAATTTGAGCTCCTCTGAAAGCTGCTGCTTCTCAGAGGCCCATTGCAGCAGCTGAGGGCTGGCAGCCTCCTGCCTTCTGAAGGCAGGATACCTGTTACATGGGGAGCAAACCCTCCTGCCCTCAAGCTGCTTTGAGTTGCTCAGCTCCTTCTCACACACCACCCAAGCCCAGAGGTTGGAGTCCCACACCGTGACTGAGGTGAGCATGGAGGGACCGAGGCCATGGGAGATGCAGGTGTCCCAGCAGGGTATGTTTGTGCTTATGCATCGATGTATATGGTTCTATACCAATTTGTCCACTGTGAATGCAGAACCACGCAGAAACCAGCCTGTGCTGATGACAGCTGAGTTGTGAGCAGATTCCAGTAAAGCCATCTTCAGCCCTGAGCTTCTGCTTTCGCCTTTCCCCCACTGCTCATAGCTTCTGTAAGACTGAACCGTTCCTGAAGTAGGGGAGTTCCCGAGAGCATTCCACTCAAGGACGGCTATGTAGAAAATGGAATTAGGAAATTACTTTTCCCCACGTCAAAAATGCCTTGAGTTGACAAGCTGGCCAAGCTGAAACCAAGCCTGAGTAAATTTTGCATCCGTGGAGATGTGCTGCAGCAGAGCGGCACGCTGATGAAGACAAACTGCGCTCTCAGCGGTTTCCCTTCCCAGTGTCCTGGTGTCACATGGCTCCCTCAAGTATAAGTGAACCGGAGCGCGGGGAGCGAACGCTCTGACAGCCTGCAAGAGGGACACGCGCGGCTCTGCCCGTGTGCGACCCGGTGCTCTCGGCCGTCCCTCCCTTTCCCCCCCCCGATCCGGCCCCAGCGACCCGAGGCGGCAGTGCCCCGCGGCCCCTCCGCGCACCCCCGCCCCGCACCTCTCCCGCCTTCCGCGGGGTGGGATCGCTGCTCTGCCCTCCCCGGGGCAGGGCTCTGCGGGGCCGGTCGCCCGGCGCGGAGTGGAGCGGCTGAGCGTCGCGCCGCACCGGGCCGGGCCGGGCCGAGCCGTGACCAAGCCTCGGCGATGCTGGGCATGCTGCTCCTGGCGTGCTGCCTGCTGCTGGGCGGCCGCAGCCTGTCGCGGGGCGACGCCGCCCTCGACCGAGACGAGCTGCCCTCCCTTCGGAGTGAGTGACGGCCACGGGGCGACACTTCGGGAGGGGCGGCCGCTTCTCCGGCCAGCGGCCGTGCGCGGGGTGCGCGTCACTGCTCCGGAGTGGGGGCGGCCAGGCTTTCTGCGTGGGGTCCTACGGGTCTAGCTGCGGGGGTTCGGCAGGGAGAGGGGCCGAGGGGGCCCCGGCACCGTGCCGTGCCGTGCCGTGCCGTGCCGCCCGGTGCTCTGCAGCGGTGCCGCTGCTCGCTGGTTTCCCTGCACCTGGTTCAGAAGCTCACGCGGTTACCGTTTTCCGCACTCCCAATAAATTCCCCTTGTTTTCCTTATTGCCACACCAGCAATTCTCTCTGCTTTTTGGGGTGGAAGGATGTGGGAGGTGAGGAGGAAGGAAGCGGAGATAACTTGTGCTCCTAGCTCTGTTATGTATTATTCGTGGTAGTAAACACAAGTACCTGGAACTTGGAGATGCATGCTCAGCTCCCAGCTCAGTGTTCACAGATTCTGGCACACAGCACTAGTGTGCTGTCACCTGGTCTTCATATGGATTGTAGGAGGAAGTTGTTTCCAAAGGGAAATGTCATGTGCTGAAGTGCAGGATTCTCTCCTTGGGCCCTATGGGTGTTGCAACCTCACCTCCTGGTCCCTAGCCACAGGGTTGCTCCAGTTGTCTCCTTGCTGTTCTTCAGTTGGGTTTTTTTTTGTGAGGTCTGTATAAAATTAATCTTCTGTCAGCAGCCGCTGCAGCTCTTGAGAATCTTGCTGATAAGGGCATGCAGATGTTTTCTTGAGGGTTCTCAAATTGTCATAGAATCATAGAATGCTTGCGATTGTAAGGGACCTCAGCGAACATTCACTTCAAACTACCCCTGCCATGGGCTTGTTGCAACCCAGCAGATCAGGCTGTCCAGGGCCCCATCCAGCCTGGCCTTGAGTGCTCCCAGGGATGGAGCATCTGCAGCTTCTTGGTGCCACCTGCGCCAGTGCCTCGCCATACTCTGAGTAAATTCCC